TGCAGAACTGCTTTTATCTACATAACATTTTTCCTTGGCTGCCCAGTCCCTTAATTTATCCAGAGAAGTAATTTTCTGCTTAGCTTACCTAGTTTTGGGTCATCTGCAAACACCAATACATAAGTTTTGATGAATATTGCAATGTCATAAATATAATAAACAAATTAAAGAGAGAAGGACATGGAATAGAGCTCAACATACCATTTTTTGGGAAACATTTTCCATCAAAAGGAACACTCCACATATCTAAAGTACTTTAGCTTGTTTAAGTGCTTTATGTGTGAAGTGTGTCTCCTCTTTTTCTCATTTTACAAAAAAGTGCAGATATCAATAGAAATTGGCACTTTTTTTTTTTAAATCAACCTTGTAACCAGTAGTGTTACTTCCTGGTTTGGTTAGCTCAGAGGAACTAAACTCTAGAGGCAGCAAGTGCTCAGACCACCTGCCTTGCAAAGATTTGTCATTGAGCTACATTGGGAAGTCTGTGATTGGACAGTAACAGAAAGTCTGGGTTGGGGAAAAATTTCTTCAGACAAAAGATCTGCAGCTTTAGATTAGATTTACCCTCAATGAAAAAAATGCATGTATGTTTTCATTGCGGGTATAACTTCTAAATTGGAGTGTCTCTTTTAAGGAACACTATAGTTTTAGGGATACAAAGATATATTCCTAATACTATGATGCTGGACTAGATGTTTAGGTAACCGCCTGGATGGATTTAAAAAAGGTATTTAAATTAGGGAAAAAATAATAAAAGTTAAAATAAATAATAAAAACTGCCAGCAAGTGTATCTTGATTGAGAAAGTTATTAGAATTAGTGCCAAGGTTACAACTTAACTTTTAATGTCGTTAATAAAATTGAAAAAGAGATAAAATCGAATAAAGCAAGGTGTTCGGTCCTTCTTGTATCTAATGATAGGTAATGTGGCAGCAAGGCAACAATGAATATTCAAAAATTATCGGTGAACAAGTATACTATTATTTACACGCTGTTAAACAAGAGTCAGAGTAAGGCTCAGGGCGCCTACTCGGCATACCTTGGGTGTTAAATACTCACTGCCGCAAATCTCACAACGACGGAACTTTCACTCAGTGAATAGGCATCCTGTGACTGGATGTTTAGTCCTTGTTGCAATTTCGTTACTCTAATTTCTCTACTTGTAACAGTAGAGGGTGGCTTAGAGTCAGAGCAGGCTTTAATTGGTGCCCACGAAGGCACATTAGACTCTTACTGATATAGGAGTTCGTTAAACAGCACCTCCTTTCTCCCTCTTTTTTTTGCCTTAACTCCGACTCATGTTTAACAGTGTGTAAGTAATAGTATACTTGTTCACCGATAATTTTCGAATATTCATTGTTGCCTTGCTGCCACATTACCTATCATTAGATACAAGAAGGACTAAACACCTTGCTTTACTCAATTTTACTAAATGACATTAAGTTAAGTTGTAACCTTGGCACTAATTCTAATAACTTTCTCAATCAAGATACACTTGCTGGTAGATTTTTATTTTCTTTATTATTTTTTCTTATTCAAGTGCTGGCTCCGCCTCCATGGCAGAATTAATCAATCTTGATGATCTCAGCCAATCCAATGCTTTACCTATAGGAAATCATTGGAGGGTTGTTGGGAGGTGTTGCAAATCAGCATCTCCTCATAGAAATGTATCTCTATGGGAAACATTCAGTGCCTTAATGCAGAGCGTGAGGAGGCTGAACGTAGGTCCTGGACAGTGCAGGGCTGAAATAGGAACCTCTAGTGGCCGTCTGAGTTACTGCCACTAGAGACGTAGTGGATACCGCACTCACCAAATAACCCAGGCGCTCTAAAGCTGGGGCTGGCCAGGCATCTCTTTCAAGATATGCAGAATTAATAATGGGTCAGACACTCCGGGATAACAAAAATAGCAGCTTTATTGGGTCAAAAACAGCAACGTTTCAACCCTACAGGGTATTATCAAGCTTCATAAAGACCCGGTAGTGTTGAAACATTGATGCTTTTGCCCAAATAAAGCTGCTATTTGTATTATCCCGGAGTGCCTGACCCATTATTTATTCTGCATATACTAGAGGTGTTATTAGGCAGCAATGTAAATCAACATTTACATCGCTTAACCTGCAGAGACATGCTATAGACACCAGACCAACTACATTAGGCTGTAGAGTTTCTGGTGACTGTATCCCTTTAACTACTCTCTTCACTCTAATTTTAAGCCACTGCTCAGTCCATGGATGGGCGCGTATTCACCTAAAACAATTGCTTTTAATTTGTTCAGTAAACCTTTTGTGTGAAACACTATCAAAAAATCCATGTAGCTCACATCCATTGCAACACATTGACCTAATCAACGGACTTCATTGTAATAAATAATTCTGGTTTCTACTAACATTGTTTTATCCAGCCAACATGTGCTCACTCTATACATGCTGGACAAGAAATTGCTTATCATTTGATTTTTAGGCTGTGGCTTAAAGGGTTACTAAACGCACAATAACCAGTTAATTCTGTATGTGCAGTGTTCCTATATATATATATAGAATTCTGCACAGAAAGAGTTTAACTTGCTGCCAGAGGTGTAAATCTACCTCCAGGAGTCGGGCTGGCAAATGTCAATTATGTGCATATTTCAGTCAGGTGACACTCCAATTAATGGAGGAGGGATTCAGCATCCGGCTTCTGTAGACCTGCAGAAGCAGGATGCAGGTCACCAGCTATAGAGAATCCAGGTAGGAGGGCAAAACGTTGCCAGGGTACTAAAGGCAACATAACCATAACAGCGAGCTGTAGTGGCTATTCTGCTTGGAGAAATCCTTTAAGATTATCATTCAGAAATAAATAACCTAAAAACACAACAGTAGTTATTCACTAAAGACAATTTGTTATGAATTAAAATCTAAAAACAGATCAGTTATTTTGGTTTACATTTTATTAAATAAACGCAAACTAATAAACTGCCCAAATAGTTGACGTATCCCCATAGTTCAGCACTCTTAGCCCATGAATTATGTCCAAACCCAGATGGCAATGTCATTATTCACGCAGAAGTATAGACGTCTGTTTTAGTGACAGCTGAAAAGAAGACTGGGTTGAGGAAAAATTTCTTCAGACAAAAGATGCTCCATACAATAGAAACAGAAAGAGAAAAAAAAATAAAAATAATTATATATAATTTTTTTTAAAGAATCCCTACAAAAACTGCGTTGCTGTACTGAAACATTCCAGACCAGGAAGATGCTCCAAACAGAGGTTCTCATTCCAATCTATGGGCTAATAGGTTGGAATAAGAGAATTCCAATTATCTTTACCCACAAACCTTTATAGTTATGTAGTTCACCCCCTAACAGCAGTTCTATTTATTACACTGGATGATTGGAACGGTTAAATATGGCCGCTTACAGTTTACAGATAGTACTCAAACATTTTTTAGAAGGGTGCTGAACCCCAAACAATAGGGAACAAAATTGGCAGGATTACAGCTGATTTTTGCAAACATCGCTGCAGTTAAAGGCTACTGTGGCAGGCACATGGGAACAGAGGACCTCCTTGCACCATCACCTATACAATAAACATAAGTTGCCCTGGCACTTAGAGTGTCCCTCTAAATGACATGTAACTAATACATATCTAAATAAGAATAATATTAAAACAGCTTGCAGACATACATGAATTAATGTTACACAGTAACTGAATTAAAAGAAAAAGAACAAAAAAAAAAACATTGTAGAGGAGAAAGGCAGTTTTTATATCTGGCTGCTCTCACAGCAGAGGGAAAAATCAATGTGTGGCTATTGATATGCAAAATGCTTGTCACAGCTTCCATCTTATCTACACTTCCTAATATGAAATTGGATTTACCTTTTTTTTTTTTTTTTTACTACTACAAAATGGAAATATGCCATAGCCCTGAAACAAAAATAATAAATATATTAATAATAAAAACGCCTTATTAACACCCAGTACACACACCGAGTGATTGAATAATATGGGGGTGATCTAAACGGCCTGTGTGATAATATATAGACAGATGACATTCCATTAAAAGTACAAATAGAACGCACTAAAGGGAAGAGGTGGGTTCAGGTGAGGAGGGGAACTTGTATTAAATGGAAGACCCATTAGAACCTTACCTGGTAGAATACACTTCCCCAAGCCTCTGACACGCAGATTACTTGGGAATCCCAGTACTGTAAACAGTCATTATGGGCAGAGACAAATCCGCTGCAATTCCTGATTTTGGACCCAGCTCCTCTTTTTTTTTTTTGTCCCCCTTTTCTCCTCTTTTTCTTGTTCACTTGGCGTCTGAATCAGACCGTCCTGGCTGAGCGTAGATGCTGCTGGTGTTTGGGTAATGACTGGGGGAATAGGAGGGGTTGGGGTAATCTGGGATCAGACACTCAGGTCTATCGGGAGGGAAAAGGGTGGGTGGACGCTGGTTGAGATTGCCTCCCACTCTCCTTCCCTATTCCTTTCTCCTCCTTTCTTTCTTACTCCTCTTTTTCATTTTTTTTCCCACTCCTCTCTCCCCTCCCCTTTTTATACATACGCTTCAGAATTGACGTTGTTTGAACAGTAATCAGGGAAAGCATTTATTGGGAAGTGTAGGCCCCTGCCTGTCTTGTATTTATTTATTTCCTGGCCATTTAGGTTACAGATGTCCACGATGAAATGTTTTTTTTATAGCAGTGAGATTGGTGATATGTAACTAAGGTGAAACACAAGCTGTTGATACTTTTAACTATGATATTTTAATGGTGTATGTTTTTTTGTTGACATTTATTAGTGTGTGATTTTAATATAAAGGGTGAGAATGAATCAACTGAATTGTTGGTTGTAGAGGATAGTAAAGCTGTGTTTCTAAATAAATATAATTATTAAATAAAAAAATTAAAAAATCACCAAGTCAATCAAGAATATAATAGAATAAAAATAATTTTCTGAGAGTGTTACACTGAAAGGTTGATGTTGGCTTTTAAATATAACTTAATTTGACCTGTGTTAGAAACATAATGTTTGTTTTTAGATAACTATATATTTTTTTTGATAGATTATATATATATATATATATATATATATATATATTCAGTGGTAATAATAGTGACCAAAACAATGTTATGTGCACGGATTTCTTCATACCAGCTACACACAAATGTGACACAACAATCAAATTAAAAATCAAAACAATAATGCGCTTCCACTATTTATTCTAATAATTTTTAAAAATCAAAACCTAGAAATACTCACATAAAAACATCATGGTGTAGAGGAGGCAGTGCCTGACTGCCATTTTAATAAAACATACCTGTGGAGCTCCGAGAAAAAGTTTACTCAATGATGACGTATAGGGGGCGGACCGGAAATCGGATATGTTCGCCCAACGCGAACACGCTATTGTTCGCCAGCGGACAGTTCGCGACATCTCTACTAACCAACTGCTGGTACAGGAACTGCTCTCTTCATAAATTAACAATCTGTTTTATTTTATACTCGACTCTTATCATTTAAAAATGTGCAGTTATTATATATATGCCATGCTGATGTTATGTCATGTAGCCGTTGGGCTTGTTATAGCTGTCGTGGCTATCCAAGCAAGATGTAATGCTCGAACAACAAAAACAAAGAATAAAATAAATAAATAAAAAATTAATACCATTGAGTTTTGTTATTATTGGTTTTGCTGTTACTTTATTTTTTTTATACCAAGCATCGTTGGACACAAGAGATTTCAAGCACAATCTCACCCAGCTACAGAACTTTTCAAAAGGAAGGCATATCATGGGCTGGTAGCAAAAGTAACTTGTGATGCATGTTTCGATTGACATAAAAAGGCTGTCGTCTGCCTTCGGGTTATAAACGTGCTTGCAAAGCTTAACTCATATTCAAAGAACAACTTTTTCAGCTACGTATATATTTTTTTTAAATTCTTTATTTTTGTGTCACGCTGCACAAGTGTCAGAGTCGACATTCAAAACGTTTGAAACATAATCGTCAGTTCCATAGATATGGCAATGCACAATAAATGGTACAATATGCAGCATGAACATTTTAAAAAATTATTGAGTTCAAGTAGGTAGGTAACTCGAGTGACCTCAGTGGTCTATAGAAGTATGGCTATCTGGTGTTATGTGGTGGTTCGTGTTCCACTGAGGAGAACATCCCCGTTGGCTGTGGTTGCCTTGTGTTATGACTCTGGTGTGTCAGTAGTGGGGGTGGGGGGGAATTCAGAGCATAATCATTTGTTTTATTTCCGCGTCTGGCCAATGTCTCACCAAAACTGGCCCGTGTGTTGCAACTAAGTTGGGTACCTGGTGAGGTGTGTTATGTGAGGTGTCACTACAAGGGAGTAGTGTGTGATGAACTATAAGTTAGCGTAGGGTTGAGCCGTATGTGGGGTGATGAACTGTGAGGTAGGGTAACAGTAGGCATTAGAGGAAAGTCAATCCCCTTGCAGGGGTAGTCTCTCATGGTGGCGCGTTAGCTTTGTCCGCCCTCGTTTTCTTGCCCATATCGATCCATGGTACTGCTGCCGAGGTGAGTGTCCAATTTGGGGCTCGTTACCCCCGTTTAATAGCTCAATTTCTCCGGCTGAGACACGGAGCTCCGAGGCATGCGACCGTCTCATTCTCCGGCTAGCTCCGCCCCCTCTAGATAACTATTTTAAAAATCATTGAACGTAGAATACTTCCCTGGATAACCTATATTGCTGTAGATGTTTGGCAGTACGTCTGACTTTAGTCAGTTTTCTATGAATTTTTCTGTCTTCCTGCACGCCCGCCTACCTTCTGCCCTGCAGCCCCAACAGCCAGTTTAGCAGCCCCACTGGACCCCAAGTAAAGAAAATCCACCCGGCTCTCCCAAAGGCAGGAAGGCTGGGTGGATTTATATTAAATATTTTAAAAAATAATTTGAGAGTGTTGGGGGAAAATGTGTGTGTGTGTGTGTATATATATCTGTCAGTGTGTCTGAGTGAGTGTGCGAGTGATTGTGTGTGTGTATATATATGTCAGTGTATCTGTGAGGGAGTGTCTGTGTGTTGGTGTTTGTCTGTTAGTCTTGTCAGTGTGTGTGTGAGTGTGTATATCTGTCAGTGTGTTTGTCTGTCAGTGAGTGTGTTTCTGCGAATGTTAGTCTTCAACAGGAAGAGGTGGGGTCTCAAAGGGAATGGGTGGGGCAGCACAAATCTAAAATACACCACTGATGCAGACAGCACACTGAGTTTAGCATAAATGTGTAGCTGTAGTGCCAGGAAAAAGAGTTTGTTTTCATGGCACTATAGTTTCACTTTAAGCAAGAGCATGTAAAGAGTAATTATTTATTTATTTATTTAACTATGGGCCTATTCCATGGGTATTGGCCTAGAGCTGGAGCTACATCTTCCACTATGTTAATCTGGCCCCGACCATGCCACAGCCATTGTCATAGTGCACTCCCAGTACGTCTATTGGAATTAATTTCGGCATTAACCCACCCAACTTTGGACAGTAATAATAGCTTAGAGCTGGTCTCATCTTCCTAACAATGCAGACCACTTTTGATGGGGAAATCCACTAATACACTATAAGCCACAGCAGAGGGCTGTATGTGCTGGGAGAACCCCACTCAAAAGTGGTTTGATATAAACTGGGTGGGTGGCACATAAAGACTATTTGTTGCTTAATTACTAGAATAAGCTGTAATGGTTATGGTGCTTAGTGTGTTTAAAATGCAGCTAAAGTTGCATTACAGTTGAAGAATTAGGGTTGGGATGAGTGTTGGGTGTAGAATGACATTTAGAGTTAGAATCAGATTTGTAATGGGGCATACAGCTCTGGCAGTTTTTAGCCAAAGTAAGACTTTGATGTTCCTTAGGGTGTCAGCCTTATTCTGTTAAAGTAGCATTTATGTATATTGAGAACTTCTGCCTGTGTTATATACGAGTCTGGCAGATACTTGGTGAGGTTCGATATATAGTTTGCATACCTTTGGAATATTGGTAATATATGTACCATTTTTAAAGAAAACATGAGTGAGCAGGCAAAAATATATTTATTTTATTTCTTATGGGATTCATATTCAACTGTAGGTTGGAGATCTCCCCAGAGTGGCTCGATGATACTAAGGTCAGGACAGGACCGGCCCATCCATAAGACGGTGTGGGGCAATGACCCCAGGCGGCACTTTGCGGCCAGAATGTGGCAAGGGAGGAGAGAGGAACAGGAAGAACATCGAAGCAACTGGACCCCAGGGAGAAGACTCCTAAAAGAGTCTTCAGTGTGTGTATATATATATCTGTCAGTGAGACATTAAGCTGGATTTGCACATCTCACACAACATAAGGTCATTGTCATGTTGGAAAGTCCAAGAGCTTCCCATGCAGACAAATACAAATGGTCTGCCAGTATTTTCTGATAACATGCTGCATTTATCTTGCCATCAATTTTCACAAGATTCCCCATGCCCTTGGAGATGACACACCGCCACGTTGGGCATATTGTAACCGAGCTTTATTGTGGCATTGGTACAGTAAAGGCTTCTTTCTGGCAATTCGACCAAACAGCTCATTTGTGTTCAAGAATCGTCATATTGTGCTTCTTTAAAAAAAACACACCATCTTTTTCCAGAGCAGCCTGTATTTTTTCTGAGGTTACCTGTGGGTTTTTCTTTGTATCCCAAACAATTTTTTCTGGCAGTTGTGGCTGACAACTTTCTTGTTCTACCTGACCTTGGCATGGTATCAAGATATCCCCGAATTTTCCACTTATTAATAAGTGATTAAACAGTACTGACTGGCATTTTGGATATCTTTTTATATCCTTTTCTATATTTATAAAGTTCAGTTACCTTGTTACGTATGTCTTTTGACAGTTCTTCTTCCCATGGCTCAGTATCTAGCCTGCTCAGTGCATTCACGTGAGAGCTAACAAACTCATTGACTATATCTGCTCAGACACCAATTGCAATTTAAAAAGCCACAGGTGTCAGAAATTAACCTATGTGTGTCACCTTGTGTGTCTGCAACAAGGCCAAACATTCAAGGGTATGTAAACTTTTGATCAGGGCCATTTGAGTGATGTTATTTTAAATTTAAAAAGGCGCCAAAACAACTATGTAATAAAAAATGGCTTCATAGGATTACTATCCTTTCATAAAATCCTTTGCACCGAGGTCTACAGGTGATGAGAGTGCAGATTCCTCTTTTTTTTTTTGCATGATCAGTAATCAAAGCCAAAATTTCTACATTTTTGCCACGGTGTGCAATCTTTTGAGCACAACTGTTTGTGTGGCTTTACATATGTGGGATGTCTGTGGTGTTATTGGAGTGTATGTGTGTGTATATATATATATATATATATATATATATTACACGGCTGTGTGTAGTTTTGTGTATGTGTTGTTTGTTGGAGGGGTTTTCTGTAGGTTTGTGTGTGAATGTGGGCTGTAT